TATATATATATATATTGCATGCTTTAATTAAATAAATAAAAGTTTTAAATCTATGGCTAGTTGTGCAGTCTAGCCAGCTTGCGTGTTTGTGTGTTTGTTAATGTTTAGCTCCATGTATATGCTAGAATATTGTAAAATGGTTCCATTATTCATCAGTGAAAGTTGTTATCTTTGTGTAATAATATTGCTTGTGCTAATAAACATTAGTATGAAATGTGTTTTGTTATAATAAGTATTCTATTCATCATGGCTATTGTGGTAAGATTCAATGGAATTTTTGAATTGAAACACTGGTTACTAATTATGTTAGGATCAGGAACCCGAATGGTGCGAAATTTAGCCAAATAACGGTATAATGACAATAATAAAGACAATTGAAGTTGATAATAACGGTAATTAAAGTAGATAAAGAAGACACAAATTTAATGTGGTTCGGTCAAAGTGACCTACGTCCACAAGCGGAGAGGAGCAATTTACTATACGAATAAGAGTACAAAAGAGAGTACAAAATTAGAGTAAACACTCTAATTAATCCCAAATGCCCTAAGAGAATAACCTCACAAGATCACTCCAAAGAAAGGGTTCACACAAGTGCTTCCCAACACTAACTCTCATGCAAAATACTCTTAATAAAGGAAGAAACAAGAATTGAAGACAAGTCTTATTGGTGTGTATAAAATGAACTAATGACCTTCCCTTTTATAGGCAAAAAAATCTTGGCCTCTTAGGTGTAAAAGAAGAGATACAACTTGTGCAAATGATGTCCAACACACAATGCAATATTTTTGTGTCCCAAAGAATATTACCAACAAAGTCTACACGTTGCAAAGATGCTTATTCTTATGTGATATGGACTCCATTAGCCAAAATAATGGCCATATTACAAATCTCTATCTTGGCCTAATTTTGGATGATATAGTAAATTTTCTCCACCTTCTCCGCAAAAGCCTCAATGGGTATATGTCAAAATTTAATGCCATCAAAATCAGACAAGTTGTCTGATACCGAAACTGTAGTAAGGCCTATAACAGTGGATCCCAATAAAGTATACAACGAACCAGATCTGTGTGCTTTCATGATCACAAGAGCACCATGAGAAACTTTCAGAACTCCACCTTCACCTGTGTACTTGCACCCAAGAGATGAGATTTTTCTTCAAGTCAGGAACATGTCTAACATCAGTGAGAATTCTCACCACACCATCGTGCATTTTGATTCGGACTGTACCTTTTCCAAAAACTTTGCAGGCAACATTGTTGCCCATCAAGACAACTCCACCTCCAATAGATTCATATGTGGTAAATAAATACCGATTGTGACACATATGATAAGAACAACCCGAATCTAAAATCTACTCATTGTTAGATTTGAAACTATTATTAGTTGCTAAAAAAATAGTTCCCTCAGTCTCATCAGCAGCTACACTTGCTTCGGCAATGTCAGTATTTTTGTGCTCATTTTTCCTTTCCTTATGCTTTTCTTTATTTTTCAGCTTATAGCATTCGGAGATATTGTGACCTTTCTTGTGACAATAGCGACACTGTAAATTATTGTATCTGGATATGGAGTCGGATTTGCCCCTAACAAACATGCCAACTTCCGCTTGAGTTCTACTAGCCTCCCCAGTAATATCACTATCTATCTGTTCTTTTGATTTTAAGATAGATTTAATATCCTTATAAGAGATATTATCCTTTGCATAGAGCATAGTATCTCTTATATGCTTAAAAGATGGGGGTAGAGAACAAAGCAGTAACACAGCTTGATCCTCATCTTTAATTTCAACATCTATATTACTCAAATCCATAAGAATGGAATCAAAGATGTCAAGATGAGAGAGAATAGAGGTACCTTCACCCATACGAATTGTATAAAGTTTTTGCTTCAGGTAAAGTCTATTTTCCACCGTCCTCTTTATATATAAGGTTTTCAATTTTTTCCACATGCCTTTGGTTGTGGTTTCTACAGAAACTTCACGTAAAACCTCATTTGAGAGATTTAAAATGATACCTACTTTTGCCCTTTTGTCTATGACGGCAAACTCCCCATCCGTCCGTCTTCTTCTCCTTTCCTTGCAACGCCAAATCTAAGTCATCCTAAATTAGGATAGCTTCCATCTTTAATTGTCATATTCCGAAGTTTGCACTTCGGTCAAATTTCTCAACATAGGTCTTTGTTAGAGTCATTTTGGCTATTAAAACTAACCCGGTTAGATCTGGCTCTGATACCAATTTGTTAGGATCGGGAACCAGGGTGGTGCGGAATTTAGCCAAATAACGGTATAATGACAATAACAAAGACAATTGAAGTTGATAATAATGGTAATTAAAGTAGATAAAGAAGACACAAATTTAACGTGGTTCGGTCAAAGTGACCTACGTCCACAAGCGGAGAGGAGCAATTTACTATACGAATAAGAGTACAAAAGAGAGTACAAAATTAGAGTAAACACTCTAACTAATCCCAAATACCCTAAGAGAATAACCTCACAAGATCACTCCAAAGAAAGAGTTCACACAAGTGCTTCCCAACACTAACTCGCATACAAAACACTCTTAATAAAGGAAGAAACAAGAATTGAAGACAAGTCTTGTTGGTGTGTATAAAATGAACTAATGACCTTCCCTTTTATAGGCAAAAAAGTCTTGGCCTCTTAGGTGTAAAAGAAGAGATACAACTTGTGCAAATGATGTCCAACACACAATGCAATATTTTTGGGTCCCAAAGAATATTGTCAACAAAGTCTACACTTTACAAAGATGCTTATTCTTATGTGATATGGACTCCATTAGCCAAAATAATGGCCATATTACAAATTATATCAACACAGAAAACAGTGGAGGTGGATATAAACCTAATTTCCTCCTAATCCAAAACTGTTCAGATATTGGTCATTGGAAGACTATACAGAGAAGATGCGACTTCTCCATTACATCAACAGTGTACAATTAGTTTCAAAAAATTCGTAATTAAAATTTTGGCATTACCAATAGATATATACTCGAGGACAAACATATTTAGTAGAAATTAAAATTCATATTCACATTACCAATAACAACACATAGAAAGTTTGCAATAGCAGTTTACTTAGGTCAAATGCCAACCAGGGATGCAAACAAAGAAGCTGATTGTTTAGCTAAATTTGTCTGTTAAGAAATGGAACTTGGATCTAATTCAACTCCAAAAGTTAATTGTGAGTTCCAGACCAAGTCGCATCTACTACCGATCTGGGAATCTAACATTGTGCGCACTCTTCTTCTCCACTTTCCTGTTAGGCTCAAATATTCTTAAACCTTAACAGAAACTTGAGTGATTGTAATTCAAATTGTGTGATTGTGATAATTTTTAACTATATACGTTTTGTAATTTCATTGTTAAGAAATTGTACATAGTGCTTTTCACCTAAATCTACAACTTCAGTTTCTAAAAATAACAAGCTAAAGTGAGAAAGGGGCTCATGTATAAATGGGCCATCCAAATTTCCCAAATTGTATGTTAAAACCACTTGGCCCAACAGACGCACGCATGCTTATTATTAGGGTATGCATTTTACTTTTTCAGTTCAATTGTATGCATTAATATATGCCGAACCAAATTTCCTTTTCCCCGTTGTTTCTCTTTACAGTTTACAATACAGGGGAAGGTAGATGGCATTTATGTTAGAGAATAAAAGGTAACAAAAAGTCACAAATTTAAGATGATCCCTTCAAAGCATGTTCTTCGTTAATTCCACCAAATAATCTTTTCACACATTTCTCACATATTTGGTTTGTTCATTATCCAACAACCACATATACATAATGAATTGGATGCAATTTTCCTTCTTTACTTTTTCTAGAAAGTCCTTCTGTTTGACTTGGATAAAATGTTAGTACCAATAGTGGAACTACACAAGTTAAGTAGTCATAGGGAAAGCAAGTTTTGACATAAATACCAAAGCCTTTAAAATTTTTGAAGTGCTCTAGAAAGATTTTAAAATCTAAAAGATATGAAGAAAGACTAGTGAATGAAAAGAAATAGGAAGAGTTCAGAGGAAAACATAAGAAAAAAAGGAAAAGCATCATAGAACAGCACACATACAAGTGTACGCATAAAGATTAAGGCGGCCTAAAAAGAAGTATTCATTTTTCAAGATGAGATTAAATTATTAGGAATAATATGCCAAAAATTACATCATTTTCAGATTTGCTTTCCTCATCTTCTCTCTCTGCCACCAAAATAAAATCAAAAGTTTCTATCTTTGCCCATCTTCAACTGCAACTATTTCCAAAAGAATTCCCAAAAATCTATCTGGCTGTCTCTGGCTCTGTCCTTGTTTCCTCACTCATCTTCACCAGATTTTATTCTGAATCACTTTCCATGCTTCCCGTAGCCTTTAATCCTCTTGGTTTCTGCACAATAAATACATCAAAATATGTTATTAACATACAAATTTCTCACTGAAGAAGAGTAGAGCGCGCGTGCGCGGGGATGGGGATTATCCATCAAGTTTCGAACCATGCACGCTGGCCCTCGGAGATTTCTCAATTGTGAAAAAAAAAACCACCTTTCTCATGTGAAGAAACAAAGAGAGCAAAAGCAGCAAGTGGAATACCTTCTTAGAGGTCTTCTTCTCCCTCACTTCATACCTTTCTTGGCACAAGTCTTGCAACCATGTCCCTGGTTGCACCAACTGCAGCACACAACAAAGACAAGTAGCTATTTTCAGACTAGATTTACCATGGAAAGAATCAAGAAATACCTAAATGATAAAAGCCTAATTCTTGGATCATATATCTGAATTCGGAGTATGAGGGACTTACAAGTACGGTTCTTTGTATCAATTTGGCCCTCTTCTTAGGCCTTTGAGGAAGTTTGCAACCTTTCATGGCCATAAAATCTTGTTCTTTTTCTTTACTTGACAATGTGATAAGCAATTTTGGCCAAACCATCTTTTTCTTTTCCTCCCTTGAATCAATGAACAACTTGTTACTATCATCTACACCTACCGACCCTCTCGTTGTATAATATCGGTCCTCCTTCTCGGGGGATGACACTGATGTCTTACGATGCTCATTCGCGTTAGATCTATTCACACCTAGATCCCTGCAATAACAAGTTACCACCAAATTGTAGTACAATCTTTTACTTTTGGGGTAGCCAAAATCCAAGTATTTTTCTGTTTAAGAGATGAGAATCTTCAAACAATTGCCATAGCAATCCATGATTTAAGTATTGTAATAGCTTCACCAGAAACAAATATGATTTGTTCTCAAGTATCATTACCAGCTCACAAATCACTGATGCTTTTCTAACTTCAGATCTAATGAGCTAACCAACCAACCCCAACTAAACCTAGAGACTACAACTTTGAACTTCCTTTCCTTCTAATTTACAGGTAAGACATCAAATTGTAATTACCCCTTGCATAACAACCAGCATATACCCATTTTATTGAACACCAATTTGGAGTATTTCCGCAGGTATGCAAAAAAAAAAACTAATTATTTCTCATAGAATTGACCTATTAAAACCCTTACTCAATCAAAGAATGATTCTTTGCATCAAAATCTGGACATACACTTAGGCAGATTCCATGAAATCTCTACCAATAGCATCTATTAAACCAAAAAGTACTCATAATCTGAAATAAAAATTAAATCTTTAACTCAAATGAGGCATAGTTCTGAATCAAAACACTGACACTATTTCCAACACACATACATCAACAGCCAAAACAAACAAAATTCTTTACTTTATTTATTTTTTTCCTAATTAATTACCTGTTAAGACGATGAGGAGAAGAAATAGGAGGAAGAAGAGTAGATTCCTTGGTATTATCAACAACTCGAGATGTGATTTTCTTCTTCACTACAACACCACCATCAGATTTCCCATTTGAAGTTGAATCTTTCACCTTGAAACACCTTAGTCTTTTTCTGTTTCCCCACTGTAACTTATCCATACCTTTTTGTTCTATCTGCAACACCCAAAAAATTAAAAATAAGGCCATATATAAATTAATTACCCTACTTTAAACATTGACCAAAATTGAAGAGAAACTAAACAAACAAAGAGATTTTAACATCACTAGTGCATAGAACAAAGACTGACCTCAAGATCTATGCTTAGATACAGTACCAGATTATCTTCAAAGACCCTGCATATAAATTAATAAAACTCATTAAACAAAATCTCATGCAAGAACTGAAAAACACAAATAGTACAAGAAAAAAATAGTAAACATTACAAAGATATAAGCTTTCTTATTCACCTTCTTTTGAAGCAGAGAACTCCCAAAAACTGAAAAAAGATGAGATTTTTGTTGAAAGATTCAATGATTTTCCTAAGATAATTCCAATGAACAGCCAAAGATCTTATCTTTTTCCCCTAGTATGAAATGGGGTTCTTGATTTTTTCTCAGAACAGGCGCAGTTTATTCTCTAGAGTGTTGCTACTCTCACCCCTTTTTCTTTCTTCCCACAGTTTTGTGGTTTTTGTATTTGCATTTTTCTTTTTCTTTTGGGCATATTTGAGTAGATTTAACTGAGGCAAATCTTGTCCATTGAATGTTGAATGGACGGCTAGATGAGTTTCCCTCGAATTGACTTATGGAAGTCTGTGGAGAAAACGCACGTGACACTCACGCTCACTCAAACCTTATTGACAGCAAAATTCGGAAACCAGAATATTAGGGAACTGATAATAATTCCATTACGCTTTGAATTAGCATGGATTAAAGAGCCCAAATTAATCTTTGATAATGGGCTGGGCCTAAATTTTTTGTTGACCTTGGGCTAGGTTTGGAGAAAATCAAAATTGGGTTTAGGGTTTATAGGCTCAAGCCCTAATTTAAGGCTGATAGTGTTGTCTCTTTGGTCATTATGGAGTTTCCAGTTTTTGATTTTGTCATGATGGCTGATTGGCTGTTAATAAATGCTAAGATATCTTTGGCTCTGCCACTGCGACAAAGTACTACTAATTTTATCTTTATTTCATAACATTAACAACAACATACCCAGTTTAATCCCACAAAATGGGGTCGGGAGAGGGTAGAATTAATGTACGCAGATCTTAGTGCTAACTTTGTGAAGGTTGATAGGTTATTTCCGATAGATTCCAGCCCAAAGAAAAATGAAAAAAGAGGCCTTCATTACCTTATAGTATTAAAATATTATTCAGTATTTACTGTAGTGTTCCTTGTTCAAAACATTACTCCGACTACTTATAGGTATATTATATTCTGTCTATTAACGTTTTTGGAACCCATGATTATGGATCCGAATCCATTAATATAGAGCATTTTCTTTTCCAAGTGAAATTACCTAGCATATGAAAGAGTGAAAAGGTACTTTCATTGTTGTGGAATAAGAAATCTTTGTATCTTAATGCACGCATTTAATGTATTTGGAGCTAATCCACTTTTTGGGAAATTAAGCAATAATAACAATATTTCTACTTAAAATTCCTTCTACCCTAAAGGAAGAGAATCATTGATTCCAAGTTCTTTTGTTTTTCCGCCGATGACTCTTAGTAATAATAATTCACTAGTGTTAGGATCGAGAATCCGGGTAGTGCGGAATTTAGCCAAACAACGGTATAATGACAATAACAAAGACAATGAAAGTTGATAACAACGACAATTAAAGTAGATAAAGAAGACACAAATTTAACGTGGTTCGGTCAAAGTGACATACGTCCACAAGCGGAGAGGAGCAATTTACTATAACAATAAGAGTACAAAAGAGAGTACAAAATTAGAGTAAATACTCTAATTAATCCCAAATACCCTAAGGGAATAACCTCACAAGATCACTCCAAAGAAAGGGTTCACACAAGTGCTTCCCAACACTAACTCTCATACAAAACACTCTTAATAAAGGAAGAAAGGAAGAAACAAGAAATGAAGACTCAAGTCTTGTTGGTGTGTCTAAAATGAACTAATGGCCTTCCCTTTTATAGGCAAAAAAGTCTTGACCTCTTAGGTGTAAAAGAAGAGATACAACTTGTGCAAATGATGTCCAACACACAATGCAATATTTTTGGGTCCCAAAGAATATTGCCAACAAAGTCTACACTTTGCAAAGATGCTTATGTTTATGTGAGATGGACTCCATTTGACAAAATAATGGCCATATTACAACTAGTGTGGATATAATTTTGTCATTAGTTTCCCATATATATCTAACAATATATATACTCTATATGAAATAAAATCTTCAAAATGATTCGAATATAGCCAACAAACAGAGAAAGAGTTTGGCCAGCGTTTCATTGTTCTTAATACGTTCTTGAGTTTGGCCAAAAGGAGAAACAAGAAAGAAAGAAAAAGCAAAAGAATCATGTAATAATAGTTACATGGGTACCGTTTAATGAATACACATGCATGTCTTTGTAGTATTCATTATTTCAGTTGGCTGTTTCTCAAACTTCGTTAAGGTACATATTGTTCTGCTAGTCAGGCAATAAAGTATGGAATATAATTTGCATATCTCCTATTGGATTGCCTTAGGATTTGGAACGTTGATGTTTTGTTGGTTTTCTGAAAAGGGCTTTTATACAGGGGCCGGAGACAAAGAATAATAAGAATTTAAAAATATTCTTATTAAATTCGTTCATCAAACCCTAATGGTTAGTGTAATTCTCTCAAGGATTTTTGCCTAGATATTGATGAACAAAAAGAGTAATATAAAGTTAGTAGGGTTTGTATTACAAAATGAACATATCCTACTAACCGCTACGGTTTGTACCCAATTAATTGAATAAATTATGAAGTTAATATCTAGAATAACTACTATAATAACTGCTAACTTGATAATGATATTGAATTTGGAGAAATTGAAAACAATATTACCATAAGATGTAGCTAGAGGGTCATTATCATAATAAAACTAAGTCTTCTATTGACCAGTTGATAGGCTAACTTGAGAAGAGAAAGTTAAAGAGTGTTTGGTACAAACGTGACTTGCAATTAAACCAACTTGGTCCTTCGTTAGGTGAACTAATCATGCAAACAAAAGTTAAGATGTATTTCAACCGTATGTATACTATGTGCCTCAAAAGTTGTACCATATTCGAACATGGTTAAAAACTGATTAGACCTTATCAACTCCTTCAACATATTTCAAGGATTAATTACCACTAATATAGATAACATTCTGGTTTTCTTAAATATATCTAGGATTAATAATTAATGTATTGAGAAGCGCCTTTTCAACAGAGGTTTCCTAAAATCCAGGATAGTACGTAGTTTGCATTCCATTTCTCAACGGTCAAGTTAGTCATTGAGCTAACCTTGATTTGTAAATTTTTCAAAGTGGAGGAGAGTGGAAGTGTTTATTACTGAAACTTTGGAAAGGGGAAAAAGCAAAAGATTTATTTTTGAATTTTGAACGCAAAAAGAAACAAAATTGAACAAACTGAGTATGTCCATGAAACTTCCATAGAAAGGAATGGGAAAAAAAATAATTATAAAGGACGAGAGTATGATCAAAACCTATCATCATAATTTGAAATGAATTATTATGCTTAAACGTTGTCATATGCCATTATCTTACCCTTTGCTGAACATTATCATTCATAATTTGACAAAAATGGGGTGAGTTATATTGGGTAAATTTTATCTAAAATACAAAAAAACAAAATTAGAGACTTTCTCATTTCTAGAATTCAAATATACAGCTCAGCTCTTGCAAAACTCTTGAACGATCTCAAACAAAATATATCATAAATTAATACAAGAACAACAACATACCCAGTAATATCCCACACTGTGGGGTCTGGGAAGGGTAGTATAGACGCAGACCTTACCCCTACCTTGTGAGAATAGAGAGGTTGTTTCCAATAGACTCTCGGCTCAGGAAAGCATAAGCACCACATTAATGAAAATATAGACAAGAAGGGACAGTACCAAAAAGCCATATAAAAGCAGAATAAAAACAACAAGACAGTAAGGTGATCAACAATGAAAGAAAACAATGGTTAGTCATAAAAACCTTCTATCAATAGAAAGCGAGACTACGTGCCAATACTACTGTTATGAACACTCTAGACTACCTACTCTACTACCCTAATCCTCGACCTCCATATCTTCCTATCAAAGATCATGTCCTCGGTCAGCTGAAGTTGTGCCATGTCTTGCTTAATCACCTCTTCCCACCTCTTCTTTGGCCTACATTTACCTCTCCGTAAGCGATCCAATGTCAACCTCTCACACCTCCTCACCGGTGCGTCTGGGCTCCCCCTTCTCTCATGACCAAACCACCTAAGTCGCGCTTCCCGCATCTTATCCTCAATAGGGGTCACACCCACCTTGTCGTGAATAACTTCATTTATAATCATATCTAACCTGATGTGCCCGCACATCCATCTCAACATCCTCATCTCTGCTACCTTCATCTTCTGGACATGAGCGATCTTGACTGGCCAACACTCAGCCACATACAACATCGTTGGTCTGACCACCATTCTGTAGAACTTACCCTTAAGTTTCGGTGGCACTTTCTTGTCACATAAAATACCGGAAGCGAGTCTTCATTTCATCCATCCCACCCCAATACGATGTGTGACATTTCCACCAATCTCCTCATCCTCTTGAATAATAGACCCAAGGTACTTAAAACTCCCTCTCCTAGGGATGACCTGCGAATCCAGCCTCATCTCCCCTTCCCCTCCTTGAGTCTCGCCATTGAACTTACACTCCAAGTATTCTGTCTTAGTCCTGCTCAACTTATAACCTTTTGATTCCAGGGTCTGCCTCCATACCTCTAATTGTGCGTTCACACCATCTCACATCTCGTCAATCAGTACAATATCATCTACAAATAGCATGCACCACGGTACCTCCCCTTGGATGTGGCGCGTCAGTATGTCTATCACCAGAGCAAACAAAAAAGGGTTGAGTGCTGACCCCTAATGCAACCCCATCATAACCGAAAAATGGTTTGAGTCCCTATCCACCGTCCTCACTCGGGTCTTTACTCCCTAATACATGTCCTTAATCAGCCTAACATAGGCAACAGGTAAACCTCTAGCCTCCAAACATCTCCACAAAACCTCCCTCGGAACTTTATCGTACGGCTTTTCAGTGCGTAAAACCAAAGACGCTAGTGCCCGAGAGCTCTCATCGGACTCACTCCATCGGTTAACGGATGAGTTCGAAGAAGAAGATTCCATTTTGGTGGCCCATGTTAGAAGTGGTTCTGAACTGCCTCAAGTCAGGGAGGTCGTAGAAGAAGTAGCGGCCGAAGCCTCTGAACCAGGGAGGATCGAGACCGTTTCGCTCCGAGCTGGGGAAGCTTACAAAGAGAATTTGGCCAGTACTTCCCGGTTAGAAAATAATATGCCTAAGGAGGCGCTTGGGGTGATCGACGTCTCTGGGTCGCCTTCGTTTACTGATTCAATGATAAACGATGCCCAGACAATGAAAGGTAACCTCGGCGAGGGGGCCCAAGTAGCAGTATATTCTCTTTACTGGTGAATCAGTTCCCAACC